TTTGTACTGAGCAAGTATACTTCATGATTGTTTAGAATGGAATCACATATTTTGCTTCTGCTCAACCTAATTTTTCAATTTCTTCATCTTTGAAAAATCCATCTGTCTAAAAATTAGAGGGCTAGACCTACTCATTCAATCACTTCGTCCTTGATGTTCAGATTGTTCCCTCAACAGTTTGATACAGATAATATTATTACTGGGCCTAACCACTATTAAATGATGGGATCTTCAATGTTTTCAAATTTAGCTTCTCGCCTCACAAATTAGTTTAAGTATTTAGCTATTAAAACGACTAATTCAGAGCTTCTCAAAACAATTACATTGCTTCAATGTATATTTCCTAGTATTCAGCTTCTTTGAATGGCATGTTTTACTGTATGAATCTAGAAAGTCATCAAACAGCTTATACAAAATATTCTCACATAGTTTATGACTTAGAGTAATCTGGCATTCAAAAGCAATGGGAGTACTATGATTCTACTTACCACATATACTGCGATGATATTCATTATAACCTAACGAAAAACTCACTTTACTTAGTCTTTCAAAATTATGATTCCTTTTTAGAAGTTGCACACCTTAGTACTCTATATATTAACTTAAAAGATGGAACTGCAAAATAAGGTTTTATTCTTGACTCTAATTCACAACCAGTAATCTAATTTAAAAACACTGTCTACAAAAATAATAGACAGGCAACTTAGATAGCCTACACCTACAAAATTTTGGCCGGATTATAGATTTTCCAGATAGATTAAAACCTTACAATTTAAGATTCACTTTTGATGTTAGCTTATCCTTCGCAAAATTGCAATTATCTTGACTTTAAAGAGCAGACCTATAGCTTTAATTCGATTACAAGTTCGTTAACTAATTTAGTTGATATTTTCCCCACATTTGAGGTAGTGCCTCTTCCTAACGTTAAGACTTACAAAAGTACTATAACTTGAGTTAATCCTGAGTCACTTTTAATCACTGATTTTCCTTTATGCCCTTTCAGAAGTGAACCAATTATTGTACCCTCATTATCACCTTAGGTCCTATATCATTACTTGGATAACACCGCAAGAAAATATAGATTAAATTAATGGAGTTAAATTTCTACTTGCAATACTTATAGCTTTGACTACAAACTCAATAATGAATTATATTCTAAAGATTTTTCAGGGAAGGGTGGTATTTTTCCTACAGAGAGCATGATTTCACTTAATCCTATAGCAACCACAGATACAGCATCGTTTGGCACATATTGGGTTTCTTAAGAAGGTGTTCTCCAGGATGGAACATCTAAAACTTAAACTCTTTAAATAACTATAAATTATCCTATAACAGCTATAACTTCACCAATTAAACCTATATAAACACCACCATACTTCACTGAGGATCTAAAAAACCTGACAGTTTTCTATGATCAAATCCTTGTTTACAAATTACCAATCGTTAAAGATGATGAAAATGATCCCTATAAAATCAATTTTTATGCTTAAAAAGAATGGTAGTAACTCTATGATGTTGATAAGAGAATGATATCTTTCTTGATTTTCAATATTTCAATCTAGGTTCATCACTTTGTAGTTGAAATACAAGAATAAACAGTCTACAACTTGACATCAAAGTATGCTTTCTCGATCAATGTCAAAGAGTCTCCAAAAGAAATAGAAGTTGATAAAGTAGTTGAAATTGGAAATGATACTGAATTAGAAGACAATAGTACAAATGAGATTAAATATAATTCTACTGACTTAATAAAAGCTAAGATAGTATCAGTAAGTGATAAAGGAGTGGTTAAAGTAATCTTCAATTACCAATTAAAGTCCTTGACCTCAACAGAACTGAAATAACTAAATGAGCTAGTGACACCAATTTTAAGAAATTAAAATGGGTCCTCTTTATCAACAAATAAAATAATTTATCACTAGCTAACTTCTCTAAGTGGGAAAAATATGATAATAAAGATCAAATTCCTGTATCCTTTGAAAGTATCGCTTAGTGGCTAAACAGATTATTTGCTGCTTAAATTCACAGACAAACAGAAATACATCAAGGCTGATGCTAATGATAGCTTAATTTTTCCAAATGGATTCATAACAGACCAATTTGCTCTTCCAAATTAAGAGCAATAAACATTGAATTATGTTTTTGAGGAAATCAAAGAGTACGTATAGTATTCTATTGTTGGTACTTTTGGTTTAAATACAATAGCCGTTCTATTTTTTGATGTATCGCTCCAATAATTTTGGTCACTAATCAACACTCTTTAATTAGTAGCTTACTTACCATTGCTAAATTTCAACATGCCATATAACTTGCTTCAGTTTTTTAACATTATTTCTTAGGCAACTAATCTTCAACTAGTTGATATTACTCTGATTAAAGAGTTTATAAATCCTGAAGGTGAGAAGAAGTATGACTAAGAAACTATTTATAGCACAAACTTTTAGTTGATGGGTTTCTCATCTTCTGATATCTATGAAAATATGGGCCCAGAGCTTTTTCTATTTTTTATGAACTTTGTAATGTACTTATTAATTTTGTTCACCAAGCAATTCAAAGAATCAAGGATATTCAAAGTGATCCACAAGTATCTAGTGAAAAAGTTTGTTTTTGACTTTGGATTGAGACTTGTACTTGAACTATACCTCTACTATTGCGTTATAGTCGGCCTTCAATACTAATAATACTTGAATTATCCTTAATTTACCAGATTTACTAGCTTGTTAATGACCTTTCCAGCATTGGCTGTACTGGCTTTATTCCCTATATTGAACTTAATTATCATTATGAAACGAAAAACCAAGGAATCAATAGAGATCCACTACTCATCTTTGATTGAAGATTTGAGAGCTACAAATTTCTTAAGTAAATTATAAAGGATTTTCTTTATATGCAGAAGGATTTTATTTGTTCTCTCTATATTCATTCTTAAAAGTTTTCCAGCCTTTCAGGTTTTCTTTAATCAATTGACTTGCATTTTAGAGATTATCTACATTATCAAAGCTTAGCCATTCTCAAAGATATCAAGCAACAGGATGGAGATTTTAAATAATGTACTATACTTATTTATTTGTACTGGCTTTCTTCTATTGACTGATGAATTCGACTAATATTCGATGAAAGTGAATTCTAGCTGGGCAATAATGTCAATGATTGCTGTCATTCTTGTTTCAAATATAGCTATCATAATACTATCCTTTGTTGAAAAATCAATGAGATATCTTTGGAATAAACGAAGGCAATTTTTAAGAAATAGAAAAATGAAATAGATAATAAATTTTAATGAATCATCAACTTTTATGACAACATAAACATTTTTGGGTACTAATACTGAAAAATCATTTTTTGAGGTGAGTGGGAAATTTATCAACATGGAAGATTAAAATCTAAGCATTATTAAAAAAGACAAAAAGCATAACAGTGATGTATTTGAAAGGAGAATTACAAATATCTTAAGTATCAATTTCAAATATAGTGATAGTAAAAATCAGACATTAGAATAGATTGATGAAGTTATTACGGATAATGAAGATATTTAGGAAAAATCATCTCAAAGAAGTAAGAAATGATATTTAAGCATCGAAATAAAATTAAAGCATAAAATTATAGAGACAAAGTTTTTTAAAATAAGGATTGATTTTTATTTATTTCCTATAAAGTCTGATATTTTATCCATTGGGGTTTTGGGGTTTTGGGGTTTTGGGG